ATATTTCAGATTGATGATGTATTAAAGCAGATCTCTCACTAATTGAAAATATATTCTGAAATTATTGTGAAGTTTTTAACTTACTTGCAACAGTTTTTCCAGTAACTTTCTAACAGTTCTTTCATTAAAAAATTAATTTCCATGTCACATAGAACTGTGCAGGCAGAGGGCTCATTAAAAATGTACTGGTTTTCCTTTATCCAGAATTTTATTTATACTGGGGGACATTGCAATACTCACCAATTAATAACTTGAATTTTGTACGTTTGAGTTGCATTATCATTGAGACATTTGCTGCTGTCTGCAGTGAACTAATTGAAGATTATTATACAGCCAGTAACGAACTTTTCACTTTTCTTAAAACTTATTTAGAAATTTCCACCTTCCTTTCTAGTTATGTAAAGTAAAATGGTTATTCATTGACACTGGTGTCTTTTTATAGCTTTATTCATTAGAATGAACCATTATTTTCTTAAGTATTTTCAAAAAGCAGCACATCTGAGGGGTTGTCTTAAAACCATGCAAAATACCTGGCTTTTAGAACTGGTTTATTTCTCATTTTAGCAATTCTATTTAATGATGGAATTCTGCATCTAGCACAGTTCAGTCCTTTCCTCACCATTCCCTAATCACAGCATTGTTTCAGGTTGCCAGAACTAACTGAAATACTTGGTTTCTTTCCAAAGGTCTCAAGTTTCATTAGAGAACAGGCACATGAACAGTTCCAAATGATAGTTATTTCCCTGAAGGAAGAGTTTTATTGCAAGGCAGATGCATTGATTGGAGTGTGTCCTGAGGTAACAATTAATTATGGTTAAATAATCCACATGGGGTTGTTGAAGTGCTGGTTGCACCTGAAGTGTTACTCCAGTGAATCATGCACAGTTGGTGAGTGAGTGGGTGTGTCCTGCTGTGCAGGTACCAGCTCCAGGGAACTTCCTTTGGGAGATGCAATCATAAGATTGAGTTATGATTGAGATGATAGTTATGATTGAGGTAAGATAGTTATGAAATGCTTATTTCAAGTACCAGAAGTGTGTTACATGGTGTGATCATCCTCCCTCTTCTCAGCACGATGACATTATGTTCAGCCGAGTCCTGACCCTGGATCTTACCGAGTACCCAGAGGGGGAAGAGCAGGACACAGCAGAGAAGCCCAGCCATGGTTCTCTCTTCGAATAGCGCATGGATGGTGTCAGGGCTGGGTGACAGCAGGAGCTGGGTTCACAGCTGATTGTTACAAACCTGAGTTTGAATGTGGCTATTAGATGTTGACTGGGAAATGTTCACTTTTCAAGTGAAGCAGTTTTGCAAAATATTAAGGGAATCAACTGCTACTCCTTGTTGCAATTTTGTTAAGGAGTGGGAGCCCAAGGCTGTTTCTGAGGTGTGCACACTGGTACCCAAAGCTTTCATTCCAAATACTTTGGCTGTACAAAGAAGGGCTGCAGGTTCATTTCCAGAAGTACAGTATCTCAAAGAACAAGCCTCTTACTTTTCTTATGAAAATTCCATAGCGCCAGCACACTGTTCAGGTGCTCACTACTCCAGTCAGGACCTTCTGTGTTGTAGCTGCATCTATTTGCCTTCAGATAGGATTATTTCCTCTTTTCTAAAACAGTAAGGTACTGGAATGTGCTCGTTATCTTTGGTGACTTCTGTGACAACCAGAAAGACTTCAGTCTTCCACTGCAGCCTTACATGAGTATTAGTTAACTGTACAAAAACTTGTGATGCAGCTCTAGAGCTGTGATGTAACCTTGAAAAATTTCACCTCTGAGCTATTTCACCTTGTTCAGAAGTGGAAAGAATGAGTCAGATGCTATAGAGGCAAATGAAATTAATATAGAAATATAGAAAAATGTATTGGTTTGTTACTGTGCAGCTGTCCCAGTACACTGAATTTGCTTTCCTGGCTGTTTTCCATCTAAGCAGCTGGAAGTTAATGAATTTTTGATCTAAAGTTAATGAAGTTGGGTACAGAAAACTGAAAGCTGGAATCACTTTATCTGGCTTATGTTGCACCTCTGTGTGCTGAAGAGGTTCCCTTTGTTTGTGATTGTTCATAATAATTACATCTTGTGTTCACAGAGCAGGTTCCTTTTGTCCTATCGGTTGTTTACACATCCCCTGCTTTATCACGTGCTGTGAGCCCTGGGCTTGTGCTGGGCCTGCGGGGATCCTGCCTCAGGGAGGAAGATTGTCTGAGCAGGAGTGTAACATGTTTCACAGGAATACAGATGTTCATCAAGTACTTGAGTTATTGCTACGCTTCATTGAATAAAACAATTTACTCTGACACGAGTCAGCATCAGTGCCTTAATTCAGAATTTGGTAACAAACTGGGAGGTGCTGCTGCCCACAGAGGCAAAGATTTAGCTTCAGATTAGCATTGTTTAAGTGAGAGGTGTGGCTTTAAAGCCTGGGAATGGTAAAATTCCATCCCTCTTCCTTGGGAGATGTGCCCTGTAAGCCTGGGAAGAGTTGGCCCACCCCATCCCTGCCTGGGGTTTCTTCCTTGCTTATGTCTCTGTTAGTCCCCAACCTTAAACTCCACCCTGGCCCTCCCCCATAAAACCTACCATCCTGCCTCTGTTCTGGGCTCTCTGTCTCTGATTTAAGCTGAATAAACGGTTTCCTGAGCTTAAACAGAGACCAGTCTCGTGGAGTTCTCATGCCAGTCACTAATAACTGTAGCCTCTCTGGACATGAGCCTGCAGCCCCAGAACACAACAGATGTGTTAGGAGATAAAATAACCCCTCATTCTTTGCTTTTGAGGAGATGGGAGGCTGCTGGACAAGCTACAGTTCAGCAGTATCTACAAGGGAAGAATCACCGGTGCTGAGTGTAAGCTGATCCTTACCAAGGGGAGGGATGGGATTTCCTATTGTGGACCCAGCTTCAATGGCCTGATAAGGAGTTGCATTACTTTAGGGTTTAAATAGTGGTAGTAATCAGGATCATAAATACATCACTGCAAGAGATAAATTTTGCTTCAGCTTGAAACAACAGATGCAGTGTTCTGAGCTGATCAACAGGATCACAAGAGCCTGGCTAGTCACTTTCCAAAGCAGCCCGTTCATACTGACTGTACAAGCTTACGTTTGAAGGTAGTCTCGCAGATCATGCTCTTTGTGATGCTGAAAGACAATTTTCAGAAGTGATCTTGGTGTAAATAGACCCTGTCAGAGGAACAGGGTGGCTGTGGCATGCCTGAAGGCCTGCAGGAGCACAGCAGCATCCTCAGAGTGCACCTCACTAAAGCTTTTTGTCCCAGGGAGTGAAGACCTGCCACACCACAGCTCAGAAAGGTCACCTGCCAGACCCACCCTTTGCCCTCCCTGTAAAACCCCAATACAATGTGATCTGCTCTCCGAAGGCATAACAGAAATCTTTAGGAAACAGCAACAGGGAAAACTGACAGGAACAATCCTTCAGCCCTGCCAGGTACACCTGTACTGGCATGTTGGGGGTTAGATGTCTTTCTTTTCGTTCCATCTCACCTACGGAATTTTTTGCCCATTAGTTGCAGGGAAATCCTGATGGCTGGTACTTGTGTGCTTGAGAGAAACAGCGAGTTCGGCTGGGCCCAGCAAGGAAGGGAAGGGGAGGGGCAGCTGAGGGCTGGCTGGTTTATTGGGCTGGGGAGCGAGACACTGAGCTGTTGCAGCTTGGAGAAGGGAATTCACCATCACCCAGGTGGAACTGCTGCTGCTTCTTCTCCTTCCTTCTTGCCCTCACTCCCTGTCCTGCCGGGACGTGTGGCAGTGCCAGGCACCGCCACAGAGCTGCTGATCCACCACAGCCACAAGCCCAAGATCTCAGCTCATCCCTGCTGTTCCAGCTGAGTGTTCCTCAGAGCCCTGCAGGAGCACCGGGACTGACTGCCCGAGGGGTTTGTGAAGCAAAGCCTCTCCTCCATCCCTTCCCATCTCAGCCGAGAAAGCTGTCACGGGGTCCCTTGCTCTGTTTTGTTGCTAACGCTGTAGTTATTGTTGTTTGTGTGCCTTGTTATACATACTAGTAAAGAACTGTTATTCCTATCCCCAGATCTCTGCCTGAGAGCCCCTTGATTGCAAAATTATAATTCAGAGGGAGGGGGTCTACATTTTCATTCCAAGGGAGGCTCCTGCTTTCCCTAGCAGACACCTGTCTTCCAAACCAAGACATGGCATCAGCAAAGGTGATGCCAAAGAACAGCCCTGGACATGCTCTCCTGCAGACACTGAGATGAGAGCCCACTGACTGGAAAACTTCATGTGATTACCAGTGCTGGCAGCTGCAGTGGGAATTCTGTCTTGCTGACAAGTACCTGGAAGTACCAGTACTGCTGGGTCTCACCTTCACCCTTGGACCAGTTCAAACGAAGGTGAACTTACACACTAGGAATTTTACCTGCAGACAGATCCTTTGATAATAACTGGGTTTCATTCCACTGCAAGACAGTTACCTGCTGCCCAAGGCAGCACAGTCTGTGATGTTCCGATATTTAAAGTATTTCCACAGGAACCCACTGCAGAGAGGTCAGAGAGCGCCTGCCCTGCACTGTCCCTGCAGATGCAGCACTGTTCCAGCCTTTCTGCCCCAGGTGATCTCATGCTTTGCCACACACAGGAAAAAACAAATCCTCATTCCAAAAGTGGAAAGTAGGTGGGTCATCATTCAGTGGGTTCCATAAATGTTAAACACTGTTCTTCAGGACTTGGGGATCAGAGACTGAAGCCTGCAAGACCCCTGAAGAATCCAGAACTTCAACTGATGGGAGAACTGAAACCCCTCTATTTCAAAGGCAGGTGTGCCAAGAGGCACTTCTACCAGATTCAAACGTTGTGGCTTAACTTGGGGAAGAGTTTGGTCCAAGTGGCTTCACACAGATGCAACCAGAAGTTGCATCTGCTTCTATCTGACCTTGCACGTCCTGCCTGGGAGGTCTGGCAGTGACTCATTTGACTCTCAAGCTTTACACACACAACTCAGGGCTTTAGAAAAGAGAAAGCTAGTATGTGCAATTTTATTCCATTTAAAATCATGGAAATACCAGCTCAAAACTCTCCATGCAGCAGATGTAAAGCACCTACTGTTAAAAAGCTTCTGAGGTGGGCCTTGGGTGTTTGGGGTTTTCATTCAAGAGTGGGTATATCATTATCTGACTGCTTTATCCTCTTAGGAGAATCAGTGCCACTTTCTCCTAACTTCCTTTTAGCACAGTCCACACATGAAGTTCCTGGGGTGAGAGAGGGGAAAGAAAACAAATTAATATTGCTACATTCATGTGTTTGGTGTACTTTTTATTTTAAGCACCAGCTAGCAAGATACAATCCTGGTCTCCTGAGGTTCTCATATTTGGATTCTGAATTACACATAACATGAACCCTGCTAAAGGTCTGGGCACAAGCTCTCCCCCAAAACTGACACAAACAACAGGGACTCAGATCAGGATTCAGCTGCCTTTTGCTGAAGCTAATTTAACACCTATGGAGCTCACACGTATGTCTGGATCTCTTGTTCAGATGCCCCAGCTTGAGTAGGATGACTGAAATAGATTACCCCAGTGGTCCCAACCTGAACCATTCCTTAAGTCTGCAACAAAAAATCATTGGTGTAAGCTGCTGTTGGAAGTACATAAACAACATAACTGAAGAGTAACATGAATGGAATAGAAATACCTTCAAAACCTGAATATTCACTTAGATTTTGTGGAGTATTACACACAATAATCCTCTTGGGTTTTTTACTTAATCTGTGTTCTGAACTACAAGTAAAGAGGTGCTAAAACTACCTAAAGATGGTCCTACCAAGTTAGTAAAGGAGGACTGTTAAGAGGGACTGGAATAAATTGTACTCAAGGTTTTGGTTTCTCTTCTGCCTAATTGTACTTTATTGAAAATGGGATTTATGAACTCAGTTGAGAGAAATGTAAATTTAAAATCCCACTGGAATTACAAAACTAATCTCTGACTTTACACCTGCACATAAGTGTCTTGGAGCTTGTGCTTTTTGATTGGGAAAGAGCAGGGGTTTCACCTCCTGCACTGCCAAAGGCCCTTACATGCAGTACTGAATGATACTCCTATACAATTTTTATGTTGTCTGCAGCAGCACAGATCTCTCAGGAATGGAATCTTTTTTAAGTTGTTTCGCTATATTTTCTCCATCAACTTGAAAGTATTATTGCTTGGGTTATTCATAGAAATACCACAAAGCAACCTGAACAGCTCAGCTGAAAAATCACCTTCAGTACCACACCCTTGAGATTCACTCTTCCTGACCCCCTTAAGGAAGGCTTTTGGAACAGAAACCTGTATTTGGAAATATAAGCCAAAAATCTCATTGATGTTAGCATGTAAAACCTCCAGAAAATGTATATAGAGTTACTAACATTGACCAGAGTATTCTGAGGTAATACTATCATTTGTCATTTGATAGATCTGAAAAGGCTATCAGTTACCTGCTGCTAGGCAGAAAGAAAACCAGAGTAAAAAAAGAGCATTCAGCAAACTTTCAGAGCTAACTCAGAGCTCTGCACAGTAATTATTTAATTACTTTGGAAATAAGAGGGATATTTTTCTTGTGTTGGTACCATTATGGAACTTTCTGTGAAAATAAAAGCATTACTTACCCAACAGCGTTGTGCTGTCCACCCGTTCAGCATCTAGAGAAGTGTAAGAGACATTAGCAACACACATGAGCATCCAGGAAGTTTTTATACTGTTATGCACCATCCCAAAACAGCAAGGTTGTATCTAGAATCCCAGAATGGTCTAGGTTTGAAGGGATGTTAAAGCTCATCCAGATCCACCCTCCTGCCAGGGGCCAGGACACCTTCCACTATCCCAGGTTGCTCCAAGCCCCATCCAGCCTGGCCCTGAACACTTCCAGGGATGGGGCAGCCACAGCTTCCCTGGGCAACCTGTGCCAGGGTCCCACCATTCTGATCATAAAAACATGTCCTCTCTAATCTAAATCTATGCCCTTTCAGTTTGAAGCCATTCACCCTTGTCCTGTCCCTATGTGCCCTTGTCCAAAAGTCCTTCTCCAGCTCTCTGGGAGTCCCTTTAGGCACTGGAAGACTGCTGTAAGATCTCCCTAGAGCCTCCTCTTCTCCAGGCTGAACACCCCCAGTTCTCACAGCCTGTCTCCAAAGCAGAGGTACTCCAGCCCCTGATCTTTGCTGCCCACCTCTGGACCCACTTCCAGGAGCTCCATGTCCTTCTGATGCTGGGGACCCCTGGGCTCAAGGCAGCTCTGCAGGTGGGATCTCACCTGAGCAGGGCAGAGGAGCAGATTTCCCCCCTCCCCTGCTGCCCACACTGGGGGCTCAGCCCAGCACAGGGGGGCTTCTAAGATGGGGTCTGTCCAGCTCTCACCCACCAGCACCCCAAGGTCTTCACCAGGGTTGCTCCATCTGCTCATCCTCAGCCTGGATTTGTGCTTGTGATTGCAGGACCCTGGCCTTGCTAAACTTGGTGATTGCACAGCCCTGCCTCTCCAGCCTAACCACTCTGGATGTGACCCCTTCCCTATAATCACAGCCCTCAGCTTGCTGTCACCTGCTGAGGACACACTTGAGCTCACTGTCTACATCCCTGTCAAAACCATTACATGGTCCTGATCCTAACACAGACTCCTGGAGGATGCAGCTTCCATCAGTTTCCATCCACACATAGAACCACTGACCATCCAGCCCATTTTTTACCCACATTCCCCAAGTCTTCCTTTTTTCCATTTTGAAAAGTGCAGATTATGCTGCTTCTTTTCCTGTCAGTGGGAATCTCCTGAGTTGACACAATTTTTCAAATAATATGGCTAATCAACTTCATCATGGTTTAGCAGATTGAGAATTCCACCAGGACATGAATACTCCAGCCCAAGTTACTACCAATCCTGACCTCAGGTCCAGCTGAGCCTCTCCTCTGCTGGGCTCTCCATTACCTCTCCTAGGAAGTGGTCCTCAAGGCATTCCAGGATTCCTGGACTGCTTGCAGTCTGCTGTGTTCCTTTTCTAGTGAGTGTCTGGGGGCCTGTAGTCCCCACTCTGCATCAGGCTTATTTTGGTTTTGCATTTCTCATTTCTTTAATACAGCACTTTTGACAAACTCCCCCTGCTACATTTGAGAATAGAGTTTGCAAATAGACACAAAAAACCAAACCCTGACAGTCTGGTGATGTACGGAGCAGTTCTGCACACCTGAAAATGGTTTTGTTTGGGATCTTGACTTATAAACCAGATCACAAGATTTTCAAAAGAGACAAATCTGGAATTCAAGATTAAATTTTCAAGAATTCACAGCCCTCCAAAGTCCACAGATTTTAAAAAAAAAACATCTAGTTAAAGTTTGGCCACATGTTCCAACTCTGCATGTCCCTCACAAGCAACAAAGCTGCATATAAGGCCAGTGGCTCACATCAGCTGCAGTGTTCAGGCAGGACAAACTGCCTAGTACCTGCTCCAGGTTGTGCTGCTGAAGAGGCCACATTACCTGGACTTCTCTGTTTGCAGATTTGAGCAGCCAGATCCTGGACATACTCTGGGAATTGTTGGAAGCAGTCCCCATAGGACACTACTTTTATTCCATGCAGCAGCATGTCTGCCTGGAGCTTAAAAAAGTGGTCTTCGTTTTCTTTAAGCACCAACATGTAATGTTCTAGATCCACTTTGTTCTTTACTGTGTAAAGAAAAAGAGCTTGGAATATCTGGTCACGCAGAGTCTCTCCACAACCCAAAAACAAAAAAGACTTGGTTCGGTACAAGTTCTGAAGAACCTCCTGTGAAAGAATAGAAAGAAAGAAGAGCTCCATTTACTTCAGCAGACAAAAGCCAAGGTCAGAACTTCTAAAATACATCAGCCAGAAAAGGACCAGCAAAACAGAATGTCACTAGTGACCTGAAAAAAGCAAATGCTTTAGGACCAGGCCAAACTGACATTTCATAACCATTGTTCCTACAACCAAAAAAAAAAAAAAAAAAAATTTATCATACAAATATGGGAGTTGGAACAAGACAATCTTTATTAAGGTCTCTTCCAACCCAAGCCATTCCATGGAATTTAAATGGGCATGTAAGTGTTGCCAGCAAGGGAATTTAAATTGAAAGAATTAGGGTGACAGAATATTGTGTTCCTCTTAGGTCAATCTCTAAATAAGGAAAATAAATATTCTTCACCAAATATTTGACTTCCTATGACAGCTAAGACAACATTAAGTCCAGGATCCAGGGCTGGTACCAGTTTAAACCCCTAAGAAACCCAGCAACCATATGATGATGAATCCTTGTCCTGGTGTCCAGTATTCTGAGGCTCTTGTTCTTTCCAAAGATAAATACAAACTGACATCCAGCTGAAGGGTTTGGTTGTGATTTACACAGCCACAGTACCCAAGGGCACACACTGCCCTGGCAATAGAGCCACCTATCTGAATAATTCTGAGTAACTCCTCTAGTCCCCAAGTATTTAATTTATAAGATCCCACAGAGCCTTAGGTATCTTGTCTGCAGTGATTACAAGAAAACTGGCAAAACATAATCAAAATTTTAAAGTACACACAAACCATGACTTCAGGATCTTGAGTAACATCTTTATATCCTGAGGGATCAAGCACCATTCCACAGGGATCTGTATATAAGCCGTGAATATGAAGAACTCCGTATTTTACATGGCCCCTTGCCCACTGAAGAACCTAAAGCACATCATGCAAGATACATCCTTTTGTTATAATATACCACACTCACCATGAATCTGCAAAACTATACAGCTGAACTGACTTATAAAACACCTAAAGTAGAAACAAGTCCTTTTCCACTTTCCTACAGCAAGAGGTTGTAATTACTAATTAAACAGCTCGCTTTAAATGGTAACAAAGATGTGATGGCTGATACTGCAGCTGTCTCTGGCTTTTTGGGTTAAACAGCCAGTCAAATAAAAAAGCAAGTTCCAGCAGCACTGACAGAAAAGGTATGAACAGCAAATTAATTACCAGCCAGGTGAAATTCTGCTTGGAATTTTAACAATGACTTTACATAAGTTAAATAATTGGTGGGTTTTTTCCAATAAATGGCAGAGTATTAGTTAACAAACATGTCACTGAAATTCTCCTTATCAGATTATTCAGAAAAAAGAGATATGTAAAAGAAACATCTGGGAGTCTTCTGTAGCTTATAAACATGCTTTAACAATTACCAACTTTTGGTCTTGACTCTTTAAACAGCAAAACATCTTTCAGTGCAGCTAATGTGCTGATTTGTCATATATTAAGTCTAATAATTTTACTGCTCTCATCGTACCTTATCCTTATCTTTAAGGTCTAAGGATTCCATAGGTTTACCCTGCTGCTGACCAAATATTTCAAGCAAATTATCATAGTTTGTAGTCAAAACCATTGTGCCTCTTTCCATAAGCCTCAGGATGGATTGTAGAACCACAGGGTTCTGAATGTGTTGTTCTAAATTATCAAACACCTCCATTAAGCAGTCCTGGAAGAAGTTTGGCTTTGTGTCACCGGTACGCTGAGGAAAGAGGAGAGGAACACTCCATCAGGCCCATGTGCTCTGTTACAACTGCCTCCCACAGGAACCCACTGTCCATCGGTCTACTTAATGCCAAAGCATTCCTGTAAAAGAGGGCTTGAACAGTACACCAATCAAAACCACCCAAAACAAATCTCAATTTGTTCCAGAGCTCTTGCCTCTATTTAGTGCAGCTCCAAACAATTGCCTGGGTTTCTCAGGAGAGTGTGTAATACAAGTACAATAAAACAACACTAAAATTAGCTTACCCTGGATTCAGACTAACCAGTATTTTAACAGTATTCAGCTATTCAGTATATCCTGGATATCCCTGGGATATATTATTAAAGGGGGGACAGGGGGTTCTGTTTTTTCATTCCTGGTTGAGAAAACATCATTAATGATTAAATCTGCTATGAACACATGCAGACTTATTGTCACCCCAGCCTACACTTAGCCCTATGTCTGTCACCCAGATCATTTCAGCTAGAAGGAAGACTTGACAAAGGTCTTAACACATTTTGAAAAACTCTGGAAACTCAGATGGATGACTGAGAATGGGAATGCATGGGCTGTCCTCGGGAAAGTGTGAGCTGCACCAGTGATTCACAATGTGTGGCCCAAGGTCATCAGTAGGCTCAAGGCCTACCTGTACTTTCAGGATCTCCCCAGTTACAGCCACAGATCTAGAAATTCCTCTTTCACTTCTCAGAAACATTCCAGCAAATATTTAATAGTCAGGACTCTTGTTTGCATTAATTCTGATGAATACTAACTTATACTAAAACTCAGGGATTTTTTAGCCTCCCCAAAATGTACAATGGGCTGTATGATTACTCACAAAATTTGCATTTTCACCAGAAAAAAAATAAACTTTTGGAAGCAGTGTTTCCTTAGAACAAAAGTACATAGTGGGTTTAGAAATTAACAGAGGTTATAAACATACTCACTGGTGACATCTTCCTGATGAGATCATGCGCAACCACAAGCAGGTCTCTCTCTTTGATTACTTTGTTACGGAATTCAGCAACATCCCCGGGGTGCAGTACCTCCAGCTGCTCAGCTGCTCCAAGGACAGCCTCAATGCAGCTCCTCCAGGAGCAGAGTGCCGGGATTCCTGGGGCTACCGCAGCACTCACCCCCGTCCCAATTACCAGGAGAAGGTCCTGAGGCTGCTTTCTTACAAGACTTTTTAAGAATTTTCTTGAACACAGAAAACAAAAGTGTTCATTGTTCACGGTGCATTTCCTGGCTTGCCTGAAGAGCTCAGGGACTGACTCCAGAAGTTCACCTGAGCCATTACAACTTCTGCAAAACACCAACCAACCAGCAGGAACAGAGTTCTCCATTCCTATACAACAGGATGAGATGAGCAGCCACAGAAGCTCATGGCCTCCCCCAAACCAACAACAGCCTAGAAGCCTTTTTGCCATTTCATATAAGTAAATGTGCATGGTTAATGCCAGCCAAAACAAGGTGACAACTTCAAATCTCTACTATCTCTGAGATCCAAATTGACAATTGCCAGGCCACTGAGTAAGCCAAACACCATTTCCAATGAAATTTTGAAAAAAGTAAGCAAGATTGTCCAGTGACTGAACTAATACATGTGTGATAGAAATTATGTAGAACTATTTCAAAGAGACAAGTCACAATATTCAAAAAATACAAACTTTCATTTTTTTCTGGGAAGAGGTGGAATATTTTATTCTCATTTATCATCACTGTAGATATGTGAACATAGCAATCATGCTAGTTCAGATAAAGGGTTCATCTAACTCACTATTTAGACATTACTACCCACATATCTCTCTCAGAGGTGTGTTGGTGTTACATCCACATTCTCTGCACAAACCAGCACAGGGAACTGTGAGGAAAATCTGTCTTTCATGATTACTCAGCAAAGAAGTGAAAATGCACATAAACCATACAGCAAAATCACTTCTGTGCAAACAAGTACAGAACCTCAGAACTCTCCTGACTTTCCAAACTACCTTTACAGATTTTCAGTTCCAGGTAACATGGTAGTAAAGATGATTAACACCTCTTATTTCACAATCATCGGAGACCATCTAGGTCAAACTATAATGTTCAATTTGGAACAGCCTCAAGAAAAGCAATAAATATATAAGTATGGCTGCCAACTAGTGCCTACAAATAAAAAGTGTTTGATGACCCCATGCCTTCCTGCAACATTTACCCCAAATTGTTTCCTCTCATTATTTATTTTCCATAAACAACTTGGCTGAACATGAAGTATTTAGTCAATGAAGAAACAAGCTTCTGCAATAATTTCAAGTTTTCAGGCATGATGTTGTTCTTGTATTCAGTACTCGGTAGTTTATTCCCACTGTGGTTTCAGACTTTCATTAAGAGACAGCTTTGTATCAACTCTAATACAAGTTACCTGAACTTCTGCTCACTTCTAATTGTAGCCCCTTCTGGTGAATCCATCTCTGAGCCCTAAATAAAACAAAAAGCAAAGTAATTCTTAATGCTTCTACCCTAGAAAAAGCCAAAACCAAAATCAGATGTATTACTGTTGATTTTTTCTCTTTATTCCTACCAGCTACTTTAATATCAAGGCTCCATGTGTCACATCCCAGTGAAGCAAGGCACTGATGGAAACAAACCTGACAGAGGACAAGTGTGCAAACCCAGCACAGCTCCAGTTAAGCTTCCAAATGCCATAGGCCTGAGTTAACAGAGATGCAGCTATTCATGCAGCTAAAAAATACTTGTGTCTAAACTCAAGATAAAATTTATCAGACCCACTAAAACTACAAGTCATTTGAAGTCAATGAGTTTCTTGATTTTATTATTTTTTTTCATAATAATCAGTTTATTCAATCCAGTTTGTGGAAACCAGGCTTCCACATGACATCCTGCTCACAAGAAGCCCTCTGAGAGCCACCTGGCTACATGACCATACTGCAGGGTATGACAGATTTTATTTAAAAATAAATAAAATATTTTTCTCTTGCTGAGAAGAAGAAAAACAACTTATTTCTCTATCATCTATTATGTCTTTAGTACAAGAAAGACACCATCTTGGCAGGAGAACTGCTATAGGATCATTACTTAGAAACCCCCAAGTTCCATTACATGGGTTTATTTTTTTATGAAGACGTATTTTTCTGTTTGGCTTTGAGACACAGGTTTTGGTGGTGGTGGTGATGGCAAACTGCAGACCCTAATCCCTCAAATAATCATTGTGCCAGAGCCAAAGCTCCTAAGGTAACTGCCAACTCTTGTATTCATGTGCTGGAATCTAATGTGGAAGCAAGAGGCTCCAAATTTGGAAATTATTTGGCTAACATAAAAACCCAAACCAACCAACAAAAAAAAATTAAAATCACCCCAAAAAATCCCAACAGAACAAACAAACAAACAAAATTTTCAAAACCACAAAAAACCCCAACCAACCAACTCCAACCCAACCCAACCAAAGTCCAAAACAACCCCCCTAAAAAACCAGAAAAACAAACCCAAACAAAATCCTCCCCACAGATGTTTTCAGCAAATGTACTCATGGTGTCTTTTAAGGAGGAAAAACCTTTTCTTGTTGTAATATTTATTTTCTCTGAACTCCCTTCCCTGACCAACAGCATCCTACAGAGGTGCCCCACTGTCATCATTAGCACATCCAAAAATCAGGGCAATAATCTGTCTAGGGCAGAGCACTTCAAAATCACACAGAACCATCAAGGCTGGCAGAAACCATCCAGATCAACAAGGTCACCACCCCAGCATCACCATAATCACCCCTAAAACATGACCCCCAGGTGCCACAAGACTCCTTCATACATGGGAACATTATGAGTGCACAATGCAAAAACAACACAGGAAGGAAGGGCAACTTACTTTTGTGGAAAAAATAGTTCTTATTTTATAACCCAACTGAAGAAAGCTTTAGTAATGGTAACTCCCCACATTTAATAAAAGCATCTCACCACGGGCTGCTGTCGATACCAACATTTCAGACCTCGCTGCTTCCTTTTAGCTCCTAAAAGGAGCTTCCTGAAAGGCGCAGCCGTGCAAGGAGTGGGAGCAATGATCCCCCAATCCTCACAGAGAAATGGCTGCGATGGGGGGGTCAAATCTCCCCGTGGTCCGAGTACTGGGAGCTGCTCTGGAACATCCTCCGGGACTGAGCACAGGTTTGGGCAGCTGCTTTTCAACACGATTTTCTCACGGCAGGCTGGAAGTGGGAGCCCACGGGGACCCAGGGATGTCCAAGCTGGGATGGGAGCAGGGTCCTTACTCCCAACACAATGAGGACATCGAAACAACTTCTAATCTCACATCTTTCCTGCTCAACACAATCCGTTTCTATCGGTGAAATAAGAGCTCTATTCACCGACTGAAACTCCAGGTCACCAGGCTAACCCGACGAAGCGAGTGTTTGGAGACAGTTTTATATCTGATAACAGCCTAAAACGTTCAACCCAAAAGGCAGCCGTGGGAAAAGAAATGCCCTATCCCGAACCCACAATTCCCTCCGAGAAGAACCCCGCCGTGAGCGGGAGCCGGAGCGGGACAGCCGGGGCTGCCGGTCCCAATTCCCGGCCTGCTTCCGGGAGCGACCCGACGGGCTCCGGGGCCGAGCCTTCCCGCCGCCCGGGAAACAGCCACCCCGCACCGAGGTTCCGCGTACCTCCGACAATCACATTCCAACTAAAATCTGCTCCTAAACCGCGGCCGTTCCCCTCAAACCCCGCGGTGGGAGGGCGGCGGGGAGGTGAACGCGTCTGTCCCCTAGGCCCCGGTCCGAGAACGGGCATGGGACCGGCCGCGGATCCCGAAAACCCCTGAGGGGCAAGAGTACCCACCTGCGGGTCTGTGTGAAGTGCAGCAGTCAGCTTTCAGCTGCCGGAGAAAGCGAACTGGCTAAGGCGCATGTTAAGCAGTTAGTGCTCTGAAAACGTACTGCTGACGGAGGTGTTAGACAAGAGACGGCAGCGTTACCTTGGATGGCTCTACCGGCGGCACGGCGGGGCTGCCGGGGGTGGCCGAGGCATCATGAGGGGCGATGCTGTGAGGCCGGGACAGCAGGTGGCACAGGCCGCCTTGGGCACGGCCACCTGCAAGGAGAGCAAGGAGTGCACACAGCTGCCTCTCCAACAAGTCACATCGCTAGCAACACCCACAGCGCCTCCTCCCTTCCAATCCTCTTTTTTTTTTTTTTTTTTTTTTTTGTTCTTTTTTTTAAGCTTTTAATATCTTAAAGCCAGAGTGTAAAAACTTCCAGGTAGGTCCTTCAGCACAGTTTTTTCTGGTGTTTGGTTAACAACATTTAGCTCAGTTGCAGCGTTTTTTCCTCATCAGAAGTCCCACCTCCCTTTTGTGAAAAACGAGGTTCACATAATTTTTATAGAATTTTAAAGTTTAATAAAAAAAAAACCCAAACAATTAGGAGAAAAAAAATAAAGTATACAGATACAGCCGGGTGTCTCTGCATTCAGCCAAGAGAGCACACCTTACTAAGAAAGAGTTGTCCCTTAAAAACAGAATCCTACTACATATCCATAAATTCTCATACTTATTAATACATTCTTCTTAGGATTTTTGGTGTTCTTCTGTTTAGTTTTCTCTTGCCCCCTTCCCAATAGATCAATCTTCTTGGCGCCATTGAGATTTACATTCCCTGATACCAGAAATGCAATAAATTCCTCCCCCCAGAGTTCTGGTCACTGCTGTCTTCATCTGGATAAGATAGTTTACAAAAGAAAAAAAAAGGTCTCCGGCTATCTTTTTCAGTCTTTGGGTTATACAGACAAAAGTAGTTTTTGTTTTAATGCTACGTCATAGCTTAACATATATGTATTATACCACTCTTTCTAACAGAAATAAAGGGAACTATGTTAATACAACAAAATTTCCCATTCTTATACACATAACATTCATTTTAATATTTGCGAAAAGCAGACAATATAATATGTAACTCTAACACTTTGAAACACCACGCTTTAATCCTGGGAGTCGGACGGGTAAAGTCAAAGGATGCTGTTACTGACCTGTACTCCCAAATTCCATTTGCAAAACTATGTTGAAAATGCAGAATTCTCTGGTTTTAATTCCATAACTGGAATTTTCAAAACTATGTGCGGAAGGAATTCTCTGCTGTGAGGGTGGGGAAGGCCTGGCACAGGTTGCCCAAGAAGCTGGGGCTGCCCCATCCCTGGAAGTGTCCAAGGACAGGGCTTGGAGCAACCTGGGATAATGGAAGGTGACCCTGCCCATGGCAGCACATGAAACAAGATGAGCTTTAAAGTCCCTTACAATCCAAACTGTGATTCTATTATTCTACTCATGATACCATTTTATAGACTTTTGAACACCTGAAGTACTTCTTGGCATAAACTTCCTCCTTTCCTTTGTTTCTCTAGTCAGTCACTTCCATTGTTTTTGGGAGTTACAGTCAGGACTCACAGGTTTTGCATGTCCATGTTATAGATTTGACCATTCTGTTGTGTTCATAAAATGTCAGAGTTGTATTGATATTCTGGTATAGTTTTAGGAAAAATTTTGGTAATTATAGCCAGTTTTGAGGATGATAACATAAGCACAGTTTTTACTCCATATCCAGTGTTTTGGCAAGAGCAGTTGTGTTTACCACTGTGAAATCTCTGACTTTCAACCTGTGTAAGAACACTGTGTCCTTGTGAACTGTCTGTGTTATGTTCCCTAGACACCACTTCTCACTTTGTTATTATTCTTACATAACTATATTGCAGCCTCTACAAAGGTTTAACAAATATTTGGAGAATCATATTCCTAAGACAAGGAAGATGGAGGGTAGGATCTGTGGGAACATGGAGGGAGAAGGAAGAATGCAAGTAGCCTCACCTGAAAACTGACACAGGACTGAGTAAGGGAAACTCTGCAGTGTTTCCAGCTCTTTGCCTTTCACCCTTCACTGCTGCCTGTCAAGCAGGAAGGAATTTCAACATGCTCCTATTGAGGGTTCTGTAAACCTGAAGGTCAAAGACACTGTTTTAAAAGAAGTAGGTGATATTCTTCTCTCTAAACCCAGCAACTATGTATGAAATCCAGTTTGGAATGCTATTTGACACTGTATTGTAGTAACAGTGGAATGTATTACTAAAGAATTTGTTGCCTTAGAATATTTTTTCAGCTGTAGATAGGAATTACAAAGACTTGCTAAATATTTGACTGAGTTTGAGACGTCTGCCCCATCCTGTAGATTTACAATGCCTAATATTCTTAATTCATTTAAAAAGAGATGTGAGAGGAAATTTTTGTGAAGAAAGGCTTTTGAAAGCATTTCCATTCTTCAGTCTGAATCAATTAATCTGGTGTTATTACCTTTCCCTGTGACTGTTGCTCCTTTCAAATCCTTAAACTTCACTATTATTTTTAAACTCCAAGAGCAGTCACAACAACGGTACATTTCATAAGCTCTGGATTCCTCTGCAAGGAGTTGGAAAGTTACTAAGGACAAATACCAATGCATTCCAACCAAACACAGTACAAAAGTAACTACATAAAGTACAATCAAAAGGAGGCTTAGATACTTTTCCAAATGTACAATAAGAAGAAAAAAAGTATTTTTATCCATTATATTTCCATGTTATTATTTTTAAATGTGAACAACTAAATATGACAGTGACAGGCCAACACCATTACGAGAAAACTGGCAGAAAGTTCACGAGCAAAAGTCACAGTGAAAAAAGAATATTGAAGTGAGTTGAAAGTGAGTGAACTTTGAAAAATTAAGGAGTTTCTTTCAAGAAGCAACAAAGAAAGGCAATTGAGGATGTCTGAGAGGTAAAACATACACTTAAAAGAAATAACTACAACAGTTCAACACTTGATTCAACCTCAGATTTATCTCTCATAGTAAATCTGTTTGTCCCAGTGTACTAAACAACACATTAAGCCAGTTGCTTTTTTGGGGGGTTGTTGCCAACTTTGGAAATAACACTTGAAAGTATGTCATCAGGCTAAGAAATGCAGCTGGTTGGTTTTGGCTGAAAGAAGCAATGTATCTGATTATTCAGCTGTAGTTCTATGAACTGAGATGTAATGCTGGTTACATTATGTGTTTGACATCTTGGTCTTTGAGAAGTTACAATAAAATAAATCCAAGCCTACATTATGCCAGAACCTGCTGGTTTGAGAGAAACCAAGCAAAACTGATAATGAAATCTTACTGAGCTTGCTAAAAAGTATCTTTAAGATACAACTAACTTGTGCCTTAGTTTTTTCCATAGCAGGAAGCCAACCTGCCCTGTTGATTGGGATAAAATTCCTTGCACAATGGAGCTGCCAGTTCCTCCCTGTTAGGGGATTATCCTTTTTTAACTTGGAACTGACTGGATTTTACTAGTTTGTCATCTTGGTAAACAGAATAGTTTATAAAATACTGTGAAGAAGAAAGATACTTTCAGAAATTCAAAGTATGTTTTCAAAAGCCATTGTCAGTTCACTTAGAGTTTACCCATGATTGAATGTAAACATTAATATTCAAAGTTAACATTTGACTTGCAGCACTATGTGTATTTGCTGCAGAGTGACAAGATCTCTAAAGTAACTCTGGATGTAACTGCAGGTGGATTTTTAAAGCTGCCAAGTGTTAAGCACATCTGCACCAGAAAGGTTTCCCTACAGTCAACTCTTACCTAACAGAGGGTAATTACCATCAATTTTTGCTTTACTTTGCACCTGCCTCTCTCACACCTGACTTCTATAAGCAACACTGAAAGTGTGATCATTTCAGTAAAATCACATGCAAAAAAAGTACATGGTACTTTAAAAGGGTAAATGAGAGGGAAAATTAACTCTGTTAACTGCCCTCTTTCTGACCTTGTCTTTAGTTTGAACTTGTTTATAAAAATGTCTGAATACATGAGTTTGCTTGGAAAACCAAGGAGTGTAACTAAATGGGGTGTCCTTTGATTAAAGAGTTTGTATTACGCATTTTTCTGACAAAAAAAAAGCCAAAATAGCAAAGCAACAAAGAAGCTCTGTCACAAAGTCCTTATCTGTTCTGAACAGCAGCAATGTGTGCAGCAGTGAGAAAGGGAGGAAAACCACTGTGGAGAGGCACAACTCTAGTGGAAAAAGGGAGCAAAACAAAACCAAAGAGAAGACAGTCAGAAAAAAAAAAAAAAAAAAAAAAAAAGAAAAAAGAAA